GGCACCATCAAACTACAAACATAAAAGCCTTCCTTAACTTTTCCCATACCTAAGCTTCTGCCTACTATACCCTCTTCCTTACTTCCTCAACCCCTAAGTCCTGTTGATTTTACTTCCTCTCAATTTCATCTACTTTTCTTTATTCCCACAAACACTATCATCTCTCACCTAGATTATTTTAAAATCTTTCTAACTGGCCTTGCTACCTTCATTCTTGTACCAACAATTTATTTCTGTACACAGAAGGCAGAGGGATTTTTTTAAAAAGCAAAAATATTTTTGTCTCCATGCTACTAAACCCTGCAGTAGTTTCCCATTGCCAAAACTCTGTAACATAAGCATTCATGTTTTTTCATAATCTGGACCTAAAATAAGTAAAGACTGTACAGTTGACATAGAAGATAAGTAGGCAGGAAAACATTGTGGAAAGAGGAGACAGGGAAGCAGAGAACAGCTCCATGGACTTCTTACAGCCTCAGCCATGAGGAGGAGTTTGGATCAAGTCATGGAAACAAGTGTCATGAAAGAGTTCTTTATAGGGAAGCCCCATATCCTTTTTATAGCAATGCTCTCAACCCTCCAGATAAATTAAAGCCACAGGTTTGTTCCCTGTGACAAATAACCCTGCCAATTACCCCAAGTCAGCTGGGTGAATTTTTCTCAGTGTTGATCATTAATGTCAATTACTTCCCTGAAGAGCTCTCAAAATGGCAGTTTTTATCTCCATTGCCATTTATTCAATCCAGATCACTATCTCTTCATCTGTGGCTCACATCTGGATTAACTGGTCTATCCTTCCTTTCCATTCAATCTGATAAGGAGATACTAGAGTAATCTCCCACAAAAACCCTGTAACACACTGCTCCAATGCCCCAGAACTAGATTTTCTTTTTCCCACAGCAAACCTAAATACTATGACCTAGCTTGTTAGCCTTTTTCACTCATGAACATTAGCACACCATTTTCCCAATATGGTCTTGCCACTTCTACAACTCTGCTTTACAACTGTGAATGCTGAGCTGAGTTCTCTCTAAACTTAGAAAAGAACTTTTAAAAGGGCATAAGACCCAAACTGTCAAAACAACATTCTTCTATCTTAGAACATTTAGTTATACTTGACCATATTTTTCCACTTCATTGATAAGTATATCCTTTAGTATGTAAGTCAGAATAAGTATCTATTGTTTTCTTTGGATGAGCCAGTTCTAGGCCTTTTCCAAGACAAAATTTGATTGCAATTAGTTTTTGTGTCAAAGCAGAATAATACATTTGCCCAAAACCTCAAAAGTTTCTGGGAAAGATACTTTTGGTGAAAAAGTAGAAATAATGAATGTAGTAAAGGAGTTAGATAATAGGAATAAAAGAGAAGGAGAGAAAATGGTTCTTAAAATTTAAATATAAGATACAATATTAAATAAAAGTAACAACAATAAAAACCTCTGCAGAGGATGGTCTCAAGTATGTAAAAAATATACATAAAGTATGTAAAAAATATACATATATATGTATGTGTATGGACAGAAGAAAAGAAAGAAAAAAATTAGGATGTTAACGTTCACAGTGGTGGGAATTATAGGTTATCATAACCTCTTTAGGAAGAAAGTCCTGGTGATCTACTTCCAAACAATCAGCCAATGGATTCCCTTAGACACCCTTCAAGCCTGGAACTGAACTCACCCCTGTGACTCAACTTTCAGCCAAACCACAGACAGGCCTATTAGGTGAACAATAAATAACACCAGGGAGGTATGCACCCATCAAAACAATCAACCATATGAGAGCAAAAGGGCAGCATATGCCTAAGGATAAAGTAAAGAAGGCAGGAAAGGATGGAAAAGAAGGGAGAAGGGAAATGGTAAACACAGGGAGGAAGTGGGAAGAGTACTGTTACATTGTGGGGATTGCAATGAATGTCAAAAAATGAAATGTCTATGAACTGTGAAATAGAAAACCAATTTGCTCTGCAAACTTCCATCCAAATCACAATAAAAGGAAATCACAGCCAGGCAAGCAGGGCACCAGATGAGGACCCAGTGGGAGAGAAACTGGCCACCCTCACCCCCACCCCCACCCCCACCCCACCCCTCCTCTCATCTCCAGGAAGAAGACCCTGCTGCCTGCCCAGCTGGGTTTCTGCCAGCTCCACTCTAAAAAGGAAGACTCTATGGATCTCAACGGTCTGATCCATTGTACTTGGGGTCTCAGTGAGTTGAGGGCTAACTGAACAGCAGCTAACAACAACAAAATCTCCTTACAATTTTCCACATTTTTCAATATTTTTAAATAAAAGGTATACATTTATTTTAAAAAGCAGAACAAAAGTTTTAAAATGTAATGATATATCAAAAGATAAACTCTTTGGGTAAAACTTATAACTAATTTCCCACTCACATCATTTGGAAATGAATGTCAAATTCTTACAGCGATCAAGTGATATAAAATGCCCCCTAGATAATTAATGTGATATGGGATTTTCTAAGTTACCATAGTGCCTCCTCTCTCTCTTCCTTTGGGCTTTCAATTTCTACTTCCAAGATTGGTACTACAGACACAAGATCTTTACAGATATTTCCACTTGTAATTAAATTAGCAGCTGCCGCTTTTCCCCCTACAGTAAAATGATTTAATTGTTCAAATTCTTGTGAAAGCTTCAAGACCTGTAGAATTAAGTGAAAAACAAATATTCTATTTTGTATAACTCTTATGTATAGCTGTGGAAAAAAAATATATTGATTCTATTAAATGCTTAAATATTTATTGGCATAAAACTCCCTAATATAAATTCACATTCTAATTGAAGTCCTCTTGCAATTTAATTCAATACTTTGCAATTGATATGTAACCTAAACCATTTATATCATAAGCATAAAGGTGAGGGATTATTTGTTTTGATTTTTTAAGTATCTTTGGTCTCTCGGGTTGCTTTCTTAGAGTGCTGTTTAGGGTTTTGTTCTTTCTTTTCACAAGCAAAAAGGTGTAATCCATAAAGTTTTACACTATTACCACACATGTTTGTCCTCAAGTTTTGAATGTACTTCATGATTCATAAAAACAATATACATAACTGCAAGAAGTTTTAGACAGAACATTAGATAAACATTACAGAGAAAAAAATTCTTCCATTCTGACTCTATTTGAACTTGTAAGGGCCTATTGTGGTAGTTTTCAAATTTTAGTATATATAACCATTTCCTGGGATTTATTAAAAATGCAATCTCAACTGGTGAAAACCCCAAGACTATGGCACCAAGTCAACCTTTGGGCCTGAACTGGACTCACTCTCGTGGCTTAACTCTCAGCCAAATAACAGTCCTATAAGCTGAACAAGGATACCAGGGAGATGCACCCCTTAGAACAGTCAACCACAGGAGATCAGAAGGGCAGTATTTGACAGGGAGAAAGCTAGGCAGACAGGAATGCATAGGTAAGAAGGGCACAAGGAAGGGTTAACCACCAGGAGGAGGTGGGAGGAGAGACATTACATTGGGGTTATAATCAGTGTCATGAAACAAAAAGTGTATGAACTGTTGAATGTAAAACAAATCTGCTTTGTAAAACTAAACCAAATAACAAAAAAAAGTTGAGGGAAAAAAAAAAGAACGCAGTCTCAAGGCCCTCCCTCCTTCCACCCCCTAAGACTGGAATCAATGGTTTGGGGTGGGAAATGAAAATATGCACTTTAAATCCCAGCTAATTCTGATGCAAGTGGATGTTCTGAGAATCACTGCTGTGTGTATGATTTGGCAAAACATTTGTTCAGGCTTGCTTTTAACAAACAGATTCTGAAGACTTCCTTTCTTTAAAAGTTACTCTTTATATCTTCATATAAAATGAAAAAACACCCAGCAGGAAGCAGGTGGGTGGAAATGGTTCTAGGAATGGAGGATGGACCCTTATCAAGGTATCGCTCTAAAGTAAACAACAACCTGTTGACTCCCATTTCTTAGTTTCTCTGAAAAATGCAAAGTTTATACAGCAACTTGTTTGATTTCGGGAATACAATGGATTTAATTCTAAGTAACAATTTAAGTTTAAGAGATCCCCCTTTATTTGGTTTCCTATGTCTTTTCAATTATCTGAAGAGAAAATACAGTGTATTTTATGAACTAAAATCTCATAATAGTTAAAGGCAGGAATTGGAGTGGTCAAAGAGAGAAGGCCCATCTTTAACTGGGCCTTGAGGGATGGGAAGACATGGATGAGAGAAGAAGAAAATAAAATACATTTTAAGCATAGGGAGAAATATGATCAAAGGCACTGGTGTGGAAATAAGCACAGATTATTTGTGGTGAAGTGAGGAGGCTGTTGTTACTGGAAAAGCAGCTACAGGATGAAGAATTGAGAAAATAAGGCAACATTGACTAGGAGGGGGTCAGATTATGAAGGGCCTTGAAAGACAAAAAAAGTGCTCTGGTGTTGTAATGGTTAAGACATTTGGCTGTTAACCAAAAGGTCTACATGTTCCAACCTACCAGCCACTCCATGGGAGAAAGATGAGGCAGTCTGCTTCCATAAAGATTTACAGCCTCGGAACCCTATTCTGTCCTATAGAGATACTAAGTCAGAAGTGGCTTGATGGCAGTAGGATTGCTTTTTGAGAGGAAAAAATATCTTAATGAGTCTACATTATTTTTTTAAGCAGAAGAAGTTTCCAAAATACTATTTAGTCACTGATTTTTTATGATAATTTTAAAAATTTAAACATTACAGAACTTGATATTATAGCAAATTGAGAACGGCTGAGGTTTCTGAAGAGAATGGTGGCATTATTACTAAGCATTTTCTAGATATTCTGTATTCTCACATGGCAAAGTTCTACCCTTAAGTGGGTAGAAGCTTTGCTCTTTATAATGAACAAAGTGAAATCCACAGGACCTTCCATGACACAGATGTTGCAGAACAAGGCTAACTCTGTTTCACAGACTTCATTCTACTGATATTTTACCTTAGTGACATAGCTGGATCTAATAATCAGTTATGTTTAATAACCATAAATATTAAACCAATTGTTCCACTTTCTGATTAAGATCTTAGGGTTGAGTAGTCAGAGCTTAGGCTGAGAATCATCATGTAACTTAGGGAGTAATTTAATATCCCTGGGTCTCATTGTTATTTGTAAATTGAGAAAGTTGGCTTACACGATCATACTCCTTCCAAAGCTAAAATTCGGTAACTATTTGTTTAAGTATTGTTTGTGCTCAATACTTAGAATATAGTTACTGCCTGTTGTAAAACATACTTCTTCAAATTTAAAAGAAACAAATTTATTAGCCACTCTTAGAAAGATTGCCTTAAAGTTTAAAGTACTTTATGTTCTGAAGTGAAATCAAAATATAATTAAAGAATCAAATATTCAAAACAGAGACCCAATGCTAAAATTAATGAGTCAAAAAGTTTGATGGGAAACAGAATATATATAGTCTCAAAGTATCTCTCTCCAAGATATTTATTAATTGTAAATGGAAAAATAATAACTTTACAGAGGAGGAATGTGGCATACACTACTATAGGCAAATTATCAAAATTAACATCACCATTAATGGAATAAAAAATATCATCTGTCTGCTGGTATAATGCACTGAGGATAGGACAGCATTTCTGTAGTCATCCTGCCAAAAATGCATAACTTGAATCACATTGTAAGGAAATATAAGGCACAGCCAAATTGAGGGACATTCTTCAAAATGAATGGTCTTTACTTTTCAAAAAATACCCAAGTCATGAAAGACATAATGAGAAACTGTTATAGATTAAAGGAGTTAGAGACATAACAGGAAAATGCAATGTATTATCTTGGATTGGATCTCAGACTAGGAAAACAAAAAAGTTTTTCTTTTGCTATAGAGTGGGACAACTGGTGAAATTCAAATAAGATCTGTAGATTATCAGTGTTAATTCCCTGATTTTTTGACTTGTACTGTGATAATATATGTCTTTGTATTTAGCAAACACACACAGGACTATTTAGGGGTAACGAGGTATTATATTTCCAACCTACTCTCAACTGGTGGAAAAAAAAGTGTGTGTGTGTGTGTGTGTGTATGCGTAGAGAAAGGAGAGAAAGAGGGAATGATAAAATAAACATGGTACTGTGTTAACATTTAGAGGGGTTAAAGTATATGGGAATTCTTTGTACTATTTTTGTAACTTTTCTGTAAGCCTGAAATTATTTTAAAATAAAAAGTTAAAAAGAGAAATTCATATTTTCAGGATAATGACTTAATTTTTATATGAAATCCTTCTCACTTCAGTTCATCCTTTATATTAAATTTTTAGGTGAAAATTCAAAATAAGTCCTTTCAAATTTAACAAAGGAAAATAAAGAGAAAATGCAAATAACATGAATAATAAATGAAAAGGGTGACATCACAGCAGAACCAACTGAAATAAATATGATAATAGCAGAATACTATGAATCTGTACTCCAACAGATTCAAGGACATAGAAGAAATGGACAAATTTCTAGAAACACAAGACCTACCTAAACTAACCCAGTCTGAGATAGAATACTTGAACAGACCCATTACAAAAGAAGAAATTGAGCAGGTCATAAAAAAAAAACTCCCCACGGAAAAAAAGTCCTGGCACAGATTCACTGGAGAATTCTATCAAAAACATTCAGGGAAGAACTGACTCCTATTCTATGCAAACTATTCCAGAACATAGGAAATGATGGAACACTCCCAAATTCATTCTATGAATCAAGAATAACACTGATACTAAAACCAGGTAAAGACACCACCAAAAAGGAAAACTACAGAACAATATCCCTCATGAATATATATGCAAAAATCTTCAACAAAATCCTAGCCCAGAATCCAACAACATATCAAAAAAATAATGCACCATGACCAAGTGGGATTCATACAGGTATGCAAGGATGGTTCAACATCAGAAAAACAATCAATGCAACCATCACATAAATAAAACAAAAGAACCGTATTATCACATTAATTGGTACATAAAAGGCATTTGATAAAATCTAACATCCATCACTGTTCAAAACTCTCAGCAAAATAGGAATAGAAGGAAAAATCTTCAACATAATAAAGGGCATATGCACAAAGCCAACAGCCAACATTACTGTCAATGGAGAAAGACTCAAAGCATTCCCCTTGTGAATGGGAACCAGACAAGGATGGCTTCTATCACCACTTTTATTTAACATTGTATTGGAAGTCCTAGCCAGGGCAATAAGGCAAGAAAGAGAAATAAAAGGCATCCAAATTGGAAAAGAAGAAGTAAAGTTATCTCTATTCACAGATGACATGATCTTACACACAGAAAATGCAAGAGACTCAGCAAAAAAAATTACTGCGACTAATAGAAAGGTTCAGCAAAGTGGCAGAATACAAAGTCAACATATAAAAATCAATTAGATTCCTCAACATCAACAAAGAGACCTCTGAAAAAGAAATAAGGAAAACAATACTATTTATAATAGCTACCAAAAAGATAAAATACTTACATATAAATAAATCTTAAATAAATAAATAAAGTTTACCAGGGACACAAAAGACCTATACAAAGAAAACTACAAAACACTACTATAAGAAACTATAAGAGATCTACATAAATGGAAGAATATGTCATGTTCATGCATAGGAAGACTGAATATTGTGAAAATGTCAATACTACCCAAAGAAACCTACACAGT